TTACCTTAAGAGTGCCTCCATTACATATTGCTGAGGCTGTTGGGATCCACATTAAGAAGCCTAATTTATGTGTCCAAAAGAAGTTGGTTGGTTCAGACACTGTCCTTACCTTGTCCACCAAAGTTCTAATGGTCTTCAGTTTGCTGTGGAAATTTCCTTAATTTTATTTAAAATTCTATTTACTGATACATTTTTATGCTTATTATAATTTATGCATCGTTCTCGAACTGTAATTTCATCGATCTTACGTAACAAATCGATAATATTAAAAAAAACACTAATACTAGTAGTGACGACTCTTCTAGAATATTCTGTGTATATAAACATGTATATATAATTGTAGAGCGAATAACACAGTGTTAGCCATTACTTTCACTATCTTGGTGCGATTCCAAATTAGGACTGTGTTAACGTTTCATAAATTTTGTAGCCAGAAGGTCCTAGGTTCAAACCCTGATGGGTGTGTGCTGCTGAGGAGTCCTTAACTAGGCTGACGAAATAACTGGCTGCCCACTACTCTCGGCTTGTTTCCCAATGGTCCCCTGACTGATGTCAGCTCATGATGAAATTCCCCAACCAATCATATACAACAAAATTACTACAAAACCAATACTCGAAAGTTTAGATTGACATTTGATGCATTTTGTTTTACTGAAATGACGCATTTGAAACTGTATGAACAATAAATGTGAACAATAAAGCCTGAATCAGTTGATGAAAGGATAAAACTTAGCCACTGTGGTAGAGTATAACTCCATTATGGATAAAATTTTATTTTGATAAATCATACAATGTTGTTGTTATACAATAATATTTACTGATGACCACACTTCGAGTACAACTTATTACTGCATATAATCATATCAAGGTACTCAAAAAAATTTCATGCTTCATTTATATACATAAGTAGAAATTTGTTAGACATTTGAATACAATCAATATAAGACTTGCGTGAAACAGAAAGGAAAGATAAACTACATTCGGAACCACTATTGGTGTCATCAATTAATCTAATACAATGGTAATTAAGACGAGTATTGTTAGTCAATAAGATAGGAAATAAGATGCTTTTATAGTAAAATAAAATAAATAACTTGTTAAAATGCTATAATGTGAATTGAATACATTTTGACATTATTTATTATCTTCTGATTTGAATGGTGGTGATAATATCTTCCATATCCCTGGTATTTGCGTTGAGTCGCTTATATTACACTTGTTGGGTGTAGGATTCTCAATAAAGCAGGAATTAGGGTGGCATTCAAACCTACAAACCAACTTAGGTAGGACAAGCTCTGTAGGCTAAACGACCATGTAGGTTGACCCAATTAGACAAAATAATATAACTTACGAAATACTCTGCAATGACTGTGAGTTTAGTCAACTACATACGTCAAACTAGTAGATCAGGAGTAGTCAGATTATCAGAACAGTCGGAACGTAAGCTGAGTTTAGAATGATTGATCCCACCCAGAAAGATAAGTATTTGAGAAAAAAGCTCAGCGATTGCACTGCATGCAATAACATACAATCACACGATAGGGTGGTTGGGATACAGTCAAAACTCTAAAAATTAATATAGGTAGATGAACATAGAGAGAGACTGATTACTGAATCTTTGTTCATCGAATCTACTACACCCGACACATCCAACAGAAGGGACTCAATGCATATACCAGAGATATGGGAGGCCTGCTTAAATCAGTGGGCTACCGAAATTACTTTCCTCCAAAATGCTTAATTTCTTCCGGATTTATCATTGTTTCAATCGTCCAGTTATATCAAATGACCTATACATAAACATGCGCGATGATATAACTTGCTCCCAAACATACTTCAGATTATTAATTTACATGTGAATCCTGTGTGATGAAAAAAGTACTTTGGAGTTGTATGCGCTGAAAATTTTTGTACCGTATATTCGCATACTGTCTTCAATAAAGCTTTACCATTATTATTATTATATTATTACCAGTCAAATCAGAGGATAATAAATAATGTTCAAATGTATTTCATTTCGCATTATAGCATTCTAACAAGTTATTTATTTATTTTACTATAAAAGCATCTCATTTCCCATCTGACTGTGTTTGATTGATAACACTTATATTATTTCTGAAGGTACTTTATCTTACATTGATTTTATTCAAATGTCTAATCAATTTTTACTCATGTATATAAATGAAGCAAGAAAGTTGTGTGGGTGAGTACCTTGATATGATTATGAATGGCAATACATTTTTCTCGAAACGTCGTTATCAATAGATATTACTACTGTGGTGAGAGCTGGCTACTAGCCAAATCGGTAGACAGTAATTTACGTCAATATTTACGTCCCCAATATTGGTTGTGAGAAAAATAAGAACAAAGACTGACTCTACAACCAATCACAGAAGACTTTGCGTAGGCGGATACAGATAATGTCAGATAGATAATCTGAACTTCGATAAACGGCCACAAAGAGATGAAAGATTAACGTTCAGCAAGAAACCACCATTCAGAAGACTGTGTATGTTTGCTTACAATAATCTATAATAATGTACATGAAAATCTATAAATATCTGTTGATTTCGTAAATAAACGATCTGTTGCCTGACCCTCGTCTTCTGTTTTTACACTACTAATAATTATTGCTTTTAATTCAGCTTAATATTATTATCATCCATGTTGAAGTTTATGAAACCGTGCCTATAAATGAGTTCTTTCAAAATGATAGAATAATTGCTTTGATACTTTTCTTTTGAAGTGTGGATCGATGAGCTGGACTGTAAATATTCACTGCTCAGTTCATTGTTGTAGACGGAAAATGATTCAGTTGGCTTAACTGGAAGTAGTCAACAAAACGAAAAGTGACATAACAAGTGTGAAGCTGTTAATCATAGATTCCGCTTATGTAAAGTGAAGTAAAAATTCATTTCAAATTCTAAAGCAATGACAACACTAATAATAGCTTTATCCTGGACAAAATGTTCAAACAATCTACGGAACTTTCAGCCTTGTTTATTCCACAATGTTTTCTCTACATCAAAGATTCGAAAGTAAAATAACTGATCGGAAGTACCTTATATGACGTAACCCTGTTCAATCACAAGAATTAGATATATTCCCTTATATTATTTTAATTTCCTCACCGGAAGACCGGCGGCAGTATGTTGAAAGCCAATTAAAAACGTTCATGAGCACATTTGGCGACCCATGGACATGGCGGAATGGTTAAAGCAGAGACAAATAGAGAAAATATTATACACTGCTTTATCAAAGTTAGGCATTCAGGTGAACATAAAGAAAACAGAGGTGATGAGGATTACTGGCCAACGGCAACAGCCACAACAACAGACAACAGTCAGCCAGCATAAATAGGAGAAATCTGGAAAGAAAAACCTCCTTCACCTACCTACCTACCTGAGAAGAATCGTTTTAACTACAGGTGGACGGAACTGATAAAGATATCATCAAGACGAGGATCAGGAAAGCAAAGTAAGCCTTTATTTTTCTCAAGTCTGTATGGAGATAGATCAACAGCACTCAGCATGAAAAATAAGATCCGGATCTTCAACTCCAATGTGAAGTAAGTGCAAATTTACGGATGAGAGACTTGTCGCTGTGCCGCATCACGAAGGGCACTTTGAGCAAACCACACACCTTCACCAACAGCTGTCTTCGCTCATTTCTTCGCTCAAGGTCAGATGGCTGGTAAGAAAGATCAGCAATAGGGAGGGATATCTGTCAATAAATGAAACAAGACACCAGGAACCGATTGTTCAAAAAGTATTCAGGAAGAAATTGAGGTGGATTGGCCATACTCTGAGAAAACAAACCATCATGTGACATCAAACGCCAGGCCATCAGTCAAGTGGGAAGTGGTGAGTTGGGTTTTAGTGCGAGGGTGATATGGAGCGGAGGAGGTTTTGTACACAGGAGATGAAAGCATGTGGTCAGACTTGGCGTTAGAAGAAAACGTTGGCGGAGAACTGAACTCAATAGAGACGTGAGTCTGAAGCCCTATATTCCTCTAGGAATTCAAAGAAACAATAGTGCAATAGTAATAATTATGCACTGCGTTGGATGGAAGTTCAGTTAGCCTAGTGATTCAACCAGATCACTCTTCGACAAAGAAGGCATAATAATTATTTAACTTCCACGTGTTTGAAATTCATATCTGTTTTACTGTTATCTGCTTTCCTTGCGATAATGAAGAGTAGCAGCCTTGTAAAAAATTATAAAACAGTTGAGCTCCTTACACTTTCATCTAAAATACTTCATTTAGTATGTATGGTGTTTCTGAGATGACATGAAGGTACTCTATTTCGTGGGAATCTTTCCACTAGCTGGCGAGTATATTTGCATAAAACTACATACTACTGAATAACTGAGATGAGTAGATGTATACCACTCGCTCATATCCACTAGTACTGTAACAACAGAAGACGAGGGTCAGGCAACAGTTTGTTTATTTACGAAATCAACAGATATTTATAGATTTTCATGTACAAACATACACAGTCTTCTGAATGGTGGTTTCTTGCTGAACGTTAATCTTTCATCTCTTTGTGGCCGTTTATCGAAGTTCAGATTATCTATCTGACATTATCTGTATCCGCCTACGCAAAGTCTTCTGTGATTGGTTGTAGAGTCAGTCTTTGTTCTTATTTTTCTCACAACCAATATTGGGGACGTAAATATTGACGTAAATTACTGTCTACCGATTTGGCTAGTAGCCAGCTCTCACCACAGTACTGCTTGCTAGCCAGAACACTGAACGGCTCTCTCATCTAAGTCGGACTGAACAAACTGCTGATGAGCTCGGCAACAATCAGGCGAAATACCCCTTTGTGTACCACTCATACACTGGTCGATATAACAGCGGTATACAACTAGTAGTCATCTCAATCAATCAGTGCTATATATAGTTTTATGCGAAAAACCCGGAAACTATTGTCAAAATAGTACGAAAGGGGTATATTTTAAAAATTATTTGATGAGAAAATACTTTTACTCACTTCAGAGATTTTTGGTTGTACTGAAAAAGCATACTCAACAAATTTGGCATAGAGTTCAGGTTTCATAACACATTCTGTCTGTCTATGGGCACTCAGCAATGCTTCTTCAAATAAACTCCACATGTGAGTACAATTTACGCTTTAATATTGAGAAAATTAAACATGTTTCATAAACATTTTTTTAATTGAAAAAAATTATATATTAGATTACAAATCTACTAAGATATTTTTCGTATCAAAATATTATAAATGATGACTAATCTATTAAATGAATTTGGCATTCAGAAGGGACTTTCTGACCAACATCCTAAAGGAAGACAATATCTAACGCTCTGAAAAGAAACATTCTGCCGCCGCCAAATGTTCTTCAACAACTCTAACATCAAACTATCACATATGACCACTCCTGTTGATTCAGATATATTGGTCGTTCGATGAGTGTTTTATACAAAAGAGTCAAAGAAAATTTTCTTGCCTGGCTGAGAAAAGATAACAGTAGATCAATAAAGAGTGCCATAATTGAACACATATTTAACATTAGTCACTCGATATACAGCAAGGATTCATTCAAAGTTATCTAAAAAATCAAACGAAGCCTTTCAAGAACTGTACGTTTCTGCATACTTTGCATTACCGACACCTAAGCAATTAGGATGAAGAAGCACTGATTTGTGCACACGGGAGATAGATAGGACGCACACACTGAGTAGACCGTTGGCGGATTTTGTGCGGTAAACGAGTCCCTGAGTGGAACTCGAATGTGAAGCGTCTAGCTGGGCGTGGGTTGAAGGGTGACATGGATGAGATGATAGTCTATAAGGAGTCGTGGCATCAGCTAAAGTAAACTGCAGAGAACAGGATGAAGTGTAGATGTGGTGTCGGGGTCCTATTTGTCATTCGGTATGTAAGGGATCAATGATAATAATTATTATTATTATTTACTTTAGTTCGTAGAGGAACAGAGCTACAACTACATGTCTCCAGTGAGTTCAATTCTCTGCCAACGTCTTCACCTGGCTTCACATCTGTCCATACTCTTTCATCTCCTCTTCTCCGCATGACCTCCTCCGTGTCACTCTCGAACTAACGACCAACTCACTACTTCCCATTCGCATTCCACTCGAGTGACGGCCTGTTTTGTGATGTCAGTTGATGGTTTGTTTTCCCAGATTATAGCCAATCCACTTCTATCTCTTCATGCATACTTGTTGCACAATCGGTTCGTGGTTGCTACAGAAACTTCAGCACAATGAGTCTCCTTGTGACAATAGAAAAAGGGATTAATAATAATATCATAATATTTATGACACGTTTATTTTCGTGTTTAGTCGACTGACTTTAAAATTATGTGGAAATTACTGGCTATTTTATGCCAAATCATGTGCTAAATAGTAACGTAGTGTTTTTATAATCCCATGATCTTTCATCTTATTCTACTTGGATGCTTAATGGTTAGTTTATATCACAATGATTGCAGAGGTGAATTGATAGAGTTCAGTAAACAAAAGTTTAAAGTGAAATAAATGTATTTTTGAGTTTGAACAAAGAATGAAGAAACCCTGGCGCAGAATAATCTGGATCCATTTTATTTCGTTGATTCTCGTCAGCTGCGTAGATCCTGAATTTTTTAATAAAAATAAAAAGTGTACAGTTTTTTAACAAACCTTTGTCCATTAGCAAGCACATTGTCAGAGCGTCATAGTAAAATAAGGCGTTGAGATTTACAAGCTGTCTAAAGTGTTATGACATAAATATATGTATATAAAGAGACGTTTCTCGAAAAAAGTTTGTTAACCGTTGTGTTGTTGGGGTGGTAACAAAACAAAATTAGCAATAGTTACGTAATTAGATAAGAGAAGATCAAAATTTTACAATTTCGGTGCACATGAGGTCAGATAAGAAGTTGATGATGTAATACAGTGAGCAGAACTCAGCAGGTTAAGAAAAATTATTTCTTAAGAGAGTCGAGCGAAAAATAAAGGGATTAAGTGGAGTGAAAAAATAAGCTAACAACATTAGAAAACAAACAGTTACTAACTCTTCATCTCGTTCATTTCAGTGGACTTCTTTTCTGCAACAAATAAACACTGTGCATAGGATAATCTTTGGGTGTTGGCTTATTTTCATAATCACTTGTGTTCATTATCATCAATATGACATTTCCCCTGTCAATTTTAGTTATAACAATGTTTCTGTCTTTCTTGAAATTCCTCAGAGATTCAGATTGTTGTTTGATGAGATTAGATGGTGTATTTCACTGTGTCATTAAATTATTTGTGAGATATTTTCTTCGGTGATTAGTTGTAGAACAGGTTAGATCATTGGTGCTATTTCCTGATATTCTAACCTTTTTGTATTAAGTTTCTTGCCTGCTATGTTGTGTATATGATATGTATCCACATATATATATTTATGTGTGTGTGTGTATGTTGGTCTCTCTTTCTGTTTGCTCGGTTAGTCTGTGACCACTTCACTTGTATGAACTTGTCTCCTTTAATAATGTATATTCCATATTATATTATATATAATATGAGTGTTTGTTGACAGTCCGTTGCTTGGTGACATATATCCATATATGTTTGTTGGCATGTCTGCTATATTCGCTATGTATAATTGGATCGACACTCCATTATAATTAGCCATTCATGTTAAGACTGTCTAATGATTTTTCCCACGCTTGTCTGAATTATTTATATATATTCGCATTCACAATTTGTGTGAACTACTTTACTTTACAACTACTTTACTTACTTACCACTTTGGTGTGAGACCATTTATTTTCGTCTCCTTGTGTTTGGACAATAGAAGTATCATCGCAAACCTAGTGGTCTTCTGATTTCCGCCTTCTCGCGTCAGGACTATTAGTTTCTCGACCAGTCCATAACAATAATTCAGCGACGAGTACATAACAATTTGGCGACGGGGAAAACTACTATTAACCACACAGCAGCAACAACATAACAATTTACTATGGATCCTATTAAATTGGAATTATTGTTTGAACGACAAATGAAATTAATGGAAATGTTCGTCAACCAACAGACTGGTCCAGCTCCACCTTCAAGCAATCCCAATCATACCATGCTACCATCTGTCGACGGAATTGTGAACAGTATTTCACAGTTCAATTATGACCCAGAGGCTAATGTCACTTTTGACACATGGTATCAACGTTATGAGGATTTATTCACTGTTGATCTCGCCTCACAAGACGATGCCTGGAAGGTGCGAGTTTTGCTACGTAAATTGGGTCCGGCAGAATATGAACGGTACTGCAACCTAATTTTACCACAGAAACCACGTGACAATTGTTTCGATGATACAATAAAGTTGCTGCGTGAACATTTCGGAGACCACTCCTCATTATTCAGTATACGTTATCGTTGCCTCAAGCTGGCAATGAATGAAAATGATGATTTTCTTACTCACGTTGGCACAGTCAACCGAGAATGTGAGAGATTTCGACTCAGGTCCTTAACAGATGATCAGTTCAAAGCCTTGATTCTCATATGCAGTCTCCAATCTCCTCGTTTCACAGATATCCGAACTCGACTGCTCAATCAGCTAGAACAAAATCCCAAGTTAACATTACATGACATAGCTGATGAATATCAACGGCTGATTAATCTGCAGAAAGACACACACCTGGTCGAATCAACACCTCCGAGAAGCTCTGATATTCGTGCATTACGAAAGAGCAAAAATCTCTCATCATCTACTCCTGACCCACCTACTTCTCTAATGTTCCGCGGAAATCTACACATACTCGTCCAACTTCACAAAATACTGCAAAGAAGACCCCACCATCACCATGCTGGCATTGTGGCGCGTGGCACTTTGTAAAGTCTTGCCCATACAAAAATCATCGTTGCAGCAAGTGCAAAATCATCGGTCATAAAAATGGTTTTTGTCAGCCACGCAAACCCAGATGTCATAATCCAGCAAAAGCTCAACAAAATGTTGGTCCTAAATCTCCAAAAAGATCATTGAGTCTACGCGCAACCTGTCAAGTCACAACACCAGCTATGCGGAAATATCTTGACCTTCAGATGAATGGTCATGATGCACGTCTGCAGCTAGATACCGCCTCTGATATTACTGTTATATCAGAGAAACTTTGGAATTATATTGGCAGACCACCTATCACCAATACTTCCCAGTCTCTTGTCAGCGCCTGTGGTGGGCGGCTCAAACTAATTGGTGAACTCAAATGTTCTGTTTCCTTCCGCAATACCAAATTCACAGGAATTTGTTACGTCACGAAGAATGATTTAAATGTTTTGGGACTTGATTGGTTCGATCGTTTGCATCTGGCTGATGTCCCACTAAATTCTCTACGCAATACAGTCAAGAAGCATAAAATGCTAGACAATTCCGGACGGAGCCGAAGCCGCAAACCCAACAATCAGACGAAACGACAGGCGTCAACAACAAGCCCAAAGGTCCCAGATAAACCCCCAGGTAAACATCCTACTAATCATCCATCTTCTCAAAAGGGGAGGTGATATGTATCCACATATATATATTTATGTGTGTGTGTGCATGTTGGTCTCTCTTTCTGTTTGCTCGGTTAGTCTGTGACCACTTCACTTGTATGAACTTGTCTCCTTTAATAATGTATATTCCATATTATATTATATATAATATGAGTGTTTGTTGACAGTCCGTTGCTTGGTGACATATATCCATATATGTTTGTTGGCATGTCTGCTATATTCGCTATGTATAATTGGATCGACACTCCATTATAATTAGCCATTCATGTTAAGACTGTCTAATGATTTTTCCCACGCTTGTCTGAATTATTTATATATATTCGCATTCACAATTTGTGTGAACTACTTTACTTTACAACTACTTTACTTACTTACCACTTTGGTGTGAGACCATTTATTTTCGTCTCCTTGTGTTTGGACAATAGAAGTATCATCGCAAACCTAGTGGTCTTCTGATTTCCGCCTTCTCGCGTCAGGACTATTAGTTTCTCGACCAGTCCATAACAATAATTCAGCGACGAGTACATAACAATTCGGCGACGGGGAAAACTAGTACATAACAGTATAGTTTTATTATTTTTCACATTACTTGTTAGGTTTTTCTTTGATTGCTTTATTCCTCCCAGTTTCAAAAGTTTCTGTAATTGTCTTCTTTTCGTGGCATTGGGAAAATGTGACTCTTGTTCACTAAATTACTTTCGGATTCGAATCAACTTACACAGTCCGATAGTTTTGGCCATCAAGGATCCTATCATCAGTATAGATTTAAATAGGAGAATCTGACCCGCACGTGATGGGACAATTGTTAATATTTCCTGGCCGTATTTTTATTATCATTGTTAATATTGTCTGCTATAATTCCTAGAAAAATATAGGGCTTCAGACTCACGTTCGGTTCTCCGCTTAACGTTTTTACCTGGCTCCACGCCTCCCCGCATGTTTTCATCCCTTCTTCACATCACATCCTCCTAAATATCACCCTCGCATTGACGACCAACTCACTGCTTCCCATTCAGGTTTTGCTCAAGCAATGGCCTGTCTAGTGATGTCATTTGATGGTTTGTTTTCTCAGAGTGTGGCCAATCCACCTCCAATTTTTCCTACATATTTGTTGAACATTTGATTCTTGTTGGGTCGGTTCGCTCATTGCTATAGATCCCTACCTGTTGCTGGTCTTTTCTGACCGACCACCTGATCCTGAGTAGTATTGAGTGAAGACAGCTGTTGATGATGTTTGAGGTGCTCTTCATGACGCGCCAAGTCCCTGATCCGTATAGTAACACTGACTGACTTCCCATTTGAATTTAAAATCCAGATTTAATTTTTCATGCTGAATGCTGTTGATCTAATTCCTTTCAGACTTGAGAGTAATAAAAGCTTTCCTTGCTTTCCTGATCCTCTCTGCTTTGAAACGGTGCTTTCTGGGTAGGCAGGTAGGTAGGTAGGTGGGTGAAGGAGGTTGCTTCTTTCAGATTTCTCCCATTTATGCTGGCTGATTGTTGTCTGTTGTTGTTGCTGTTGCTGTTAGCTAAGAATCTTCACCAAATTTTTTCCTCCATGCTCACCTGAAGTACTTCTTATCTTTGATGCCTCTTCTGCCAAATTGTTGCTTTTCACTTCAATATCTTCCAGTTTGTGAGAAATCAGACATATATCACCAGCGATGTCCAGATGCTTCAAGTTTTTTTGTGTGAGTTCATTTTATGCCTGTCCCCTCTTTGCCCGTGTAATACCTATTTGATATCTTTGCATACATATATATATAAACTGGATTAAAAAGCATACTATGAACATAAGGCCTCGGGCTTAAGACCCTAAAGTTTCAGTAAATGTAGTGTTGCTTTCAAGGCGTAGGCGCTCAACCTTCCCTCCTTTTCGTGCTTACTACCTCAACGTGTCCATCGGTAATCTAACCTAGATCACATGAGTGGTTGACGTGAATTCTACCGCTATACCACTAGTGTATGTACTATGAAATGCTTTAGGAAGTTTTTCAAACACAAAGTTTAAGATTCCATCTGATACAGTTTTATAAACGAAACGAAGCATTGTGAACAACATCAAGATCTTTATATTACATCGACGTATCAGATATAATGAATATATGCAGACTTACGGAAGAAAGTTATTTTCAATAGACAACTGATGACATCTTAATTTAAAGATATCTGCGAATAGATTCTTTTTCACTTGTTGTTGTTGTTGAGAACTGACGTAAAGTATATGGAGTAGAATTAAGCACAAAACTATACGCATTACTCCTAGTTTTAGCTGATAGAAATCAAATGCATGAATCACATGTTATTTACAATTTAAATCTGTCTTTATACTTTTGCATGTATACACCTACACAATCAGCTTTTCTCTAGGTGAAAGCTCTTATTTGTTTAAATGCAGAATTACTTCAAAATAAAATAAGATTACATGGCTGTGTTATAGGCAGATGTAAAAAGTCATCAATTGTCTTCTCCCTCTTTCATACAATCTCTTGTTCTATTGGTTAGTGTTGAATATTGTTGCTAGAGCGTCAAGTGTATGAGTAGAAATAGTCTTTTTGAAATAGTCAATTTGGGGACTTGACTGTTGAAATCTAAACGCTAATTTATTGAAGTGTTGGTTTGTAGGGATTTGATTGGTTACAAGATTTCATCATGATCTGACATTGGTTAGCGAACCATTGGAAAACCAGGGAATACTGGAAAGTTGTTTCGTCCTAGTTTGGGCCTCAAACCAAGACGTCCCAAACTGGGACGAAACAGCTGTCCAGTACTCCCAGGTTTTCCAATGGTACTCTAACCAATGTCAGCTTATGATAAAATCCTGTAACTAATTTATTGCTTTATACGAAGCTTCACCATTTAATTGATATTAGATATTATAGGAATGTTTCTACTCATTCATTGGGCTGATTTCACTGGAGAACATGTGATTACTTTTAACTATTTGACCACTTCTCTGCAATCTGTCCTTTAAACGTACCAATTAACAGCGTTTGATATTGAGAAAAGAAAACTAAGCAAGTGGTTAATATATGTGTAATATAAGTTCACCCCCATTCCAAAAGTTTGGTGGAGGTATGTAGATGACACATTCACTGTACTTGAAACACAAGATATAGATAGATTTTCGGAACACATCAACTCGAAGGTAGAAGCAGTTCAATTCGCTTATGAATTGCAAAGTCAGGAAGGGGTGCTTCCGATGTTAGATTGCAGCGTTAAAAGGAAAGAAGATGGGAAGTTAGACACACTAGTGTTTACAGAAAACCCACACATTCAAACAGATATTTGAACTTCAGATCATCCCACCCTATGTCAATAAAAATAAGACTGGTGAAATGTTTAAATGACAGAGCACAAAAACTAAGTAGTACCAAGGAAAATCTAAGGCAGGAACTGATAAACATAAAGGAAGCCTTGAACCTTAATAATTACCCGGATAAATCAGTCAGGAAATATGTAGGGAAATGTAAAAATAAAATAAATGATGATAGTAGCGATGTTGGTAATAATAATAATGACGACATGCGTGTCAAACATGCGCAAGACAACACCAACAATAAGGAATCTAAATCATCAGTAGTAATTCCATACAAGGAAGGAACCTCAGAAACAATCTCACGCAGAATTCTTGACAAAGCAGGAATAAAAGTGGCATTCAAACTAACCACAACCTCAAACAGAAACAAGCTTTGTCGGTTAAAGAATTAATTCTGTGAAGCCTTTAGAACAAAGCACTCGAATGTGAAAAACGCTATGAATTCGGAATTCTTTTGGTTGATAACTGTTTGAAATTGTCAGTATCATTGAAATTCGACGTATTCACGATCACAAGTCAAGTATTTTGACTGTTGTTCGAGACTGTAAAAGCTTTCTTGTCAGCAGAGGATCTTTTCTCGTGTTGTTGTGTATCAACAGTACTGTTACTGTTATAATCGACGTTGCTATTAGCGAATGGAGTGATAAACGTTCACGAACCTGTGTTTTTATTGCTCACTGTCTACTGCGTCGTATTACCAGTCATCTGCAGTTTGGACAAACGAATGGGATTGGGACCCATCCAAACAGAGTTCAGTAGATTATCACTTAGATAACAAAGTCACGTAAGTTAAAGCCTAAGAAATGAGAGTTTAGCTGATGAATATTTGGTGATCTGTCTTCTCTCAGTAACTGATATGCAAGTCAATCTGAACGAAGAATATTCTTTTCAATAATTTCTCTTCAGCTTCTTACAATTATAAAATATTCTTCGTTCAGATTGATTTTTAATTCATAATATGGGAATATTTCAACCTATCAAATGATATGCAAGTACTTATTTGAGGTAATCAGAAGTAAGAATATCAATACATATTTCATTATAATTATCATATCTATAATTCTAACTGTCACAATCATATTATGATTAAAACTATGACTTGATTGTTGAGCTGAAAACAAAACTTACTCCATACTATGCGCTGAAGGGGTGAACAGTGCCTAGTAATAATAAGAGAAGTTCGATCTGACTCAAATGTGTTTCAGTGAAAGACGAAATCATACATTTTCGTGGTTTGTAAAGGACATGAAACGAATGAAAAGACTGGAAATGTACTTCTCTCAATGTCTTATGATGACAATGTATGAAAGATCTCGATAGAATTTAAAGAGTATGACTGAAGCCAAATAAAGCAAACTTTCGCTGAAATTCATGATATTTCAACCTACTCAGTGGGTAGTGTAGCGATGCATTCTGAGTCAGGTTGATTCACGAGGATCGTTTATCACTGGGACAGATGTTGACAGATGCTCTCTGAAGAAATCAACCTAGGGGGAAGCCTTCTATACATATTAAATTCACCATATATAAGGCCCTTAGCTAACTAAATAGAAATATTAATGTAGCTAAATTCATCATCACACCAGAAGCGTTAGACAAAGTCTAACTGAATCTTTGCCTACGTGTCAATTGTCATGCTAGTGATTTTCATAAATTTACATATTTACAAAAGTGTGTTGTTTCTCTGGTCTAAATTATTCCTACAATTTGATTTTGTATTCATAGAACTAAGAGTTACTAATCAATCGTTTGTCGTAGCTTACACACACGCTAAATTCTTAGGATCACGTAGGTGGTATATCGTAAACGTCATTCTTTCCAAAAATTAGGTATTAATTCGCCTCTGGTGTTATTCTGAAACACAATAAGCTGTAAGAATTTGAGACAGTCAGATGACTGAGACAATTTTGGAAGTCTTTTCACAGGTCGGTTTAGATGTGTGATGAAGGATATTATTTGAATCTGTTCATTAAAATGTGAAGTTTGGTGGAGAGTCTTAACTTCATGGCATCATGTGATTCTACCATCATGTTAACCACCATGCTTTAATATATATATATATATTTTGAAGTGGTTTTGTTCTCTAAGCTGGATGGTTAGTTTGCGAAGCTTTCATCACCTTACTGGGTGACATCTTCAGCGCATACTTCAATTTGAAGTGAGCTTTTAGATTTCTCCACGAGTTTATTAATCATCTCTCCTGGTCGGCGACCTTGGACGTGATTGGTTGTTTGTGTGTGTTTTCACACCTTCTAGGTTACTTGTGTTGGAACTGATTGTTTCTTTGACTTGAACTTTGACCCTTTGTGTGTGAAGTCTCTTTCTTATTGGTTGATAATTTTTGTCTATCTCGATGTGTCTATTGATTGATGATTCACTGGAATGCCAAGCTTCTAAAAATTCTCTAGCATTCTTGTTGTTTCCTTTGTCTAATATTTGAACGTTGTCCCAGTCGAATTGATGTTCGAAGAAGCTTGGCATTCCAGTGAATCATCAATCAATAGACACATCGAGATAGACAAAAATTATCAACCAATAAGAAAGAGACTTCACACACAAAGGGTCAAAGTTCAAGTCAAAGAAACAATCAGTTCCAACACAAGTAACCTAGAAGGTGTGAAAACACACACAAACAACCAATCACGTCCAAGGTCGCCGACCAGGAGAGATGATTAATAAACTCGTGGAGAAATCTAAAAGCTCACTTCAAATTGAAGTATGCGCTGAAGATGTCACCCAGTAAGGTGATGAAAGCTTCGCAAACTAACCATCCAGCTCAGAGAACAAAACGACATCAAAATTATCCACCTGAGCTACAAATCTTCTCTATCATATATATATATATATATATATATATATATGAATGTTGATAGACACCCCTGTGACTAAACTGCTCATCACACCTACAATCACCGCTTTTATTTCAAGTTGCTTTGATTGACCTGACACATGATAACACTGCACACTTTTTGAATCAATAACTTTATCATACAACTGTATGTATCACATGGTGTATTCTTAGCACACGTTTACTTTAGAATCGATTGATCAGTCGTCATTATAGCTAAGTATTCTGTACACTTACTAGAACTGTAGAAATACTACTGTTGTTAAAGACCACATTGGTATAGTTCGTTAAGCAAGATATTTTAATTAGGCATAGTTTGAATATTGTTATTACCTTGGGATGCGAGTGGAACATAGGGCTTCAAAAACACCTCTACACTTTCTCCTATTTTCTGCCATTCTCTTCAGCTGGCTGGCTTCACGACTGCTCATAATCTCTCACTTACTCCTTCAACTCACACCATCTCCTCCATGTCACCCTCGCAACGAAGATTCACTCGTCACTTTTCATTTGTATTCCACTAGAGCGATGGCCTGCAGTGAGCACGATGTCATTCGATGGTTTCTTCAGCTCATGCCTGATCTATCTGCATCTCCTCCAACATATTTGTTGAGCAGTCAGCTCTCGCCTGTTGGTTTGTTGCCGGCCAAAGTTTCGTGTTGCTAATTCTTTCTGGCCAGCCAGCCTGCCGGCCACCTAATCTTCAGTATAGAGTCAGCCGTATTTTTATTATCGTATTTTTAACATTCAATGCTGAAAAAAATCAAACCATTCCTAAATATCTACGTCTAAGAGCTCGAGTTCCAACGGACAGAGTTATAAACAGAATAGAAAGCTTACAAAAATTATGCCTGAAAGAAGAAATCCACAGAATCATTAAAAAATTGCAACATATCAGATGTGAAATTGAGCAATTTGAACAAAAGCTAAAGGGAATAGTTACCAATGTGGATTATGATCTTATAACACAGTCCTCCAGCAATGCAAAATCAGAAACTTTCAAAAAGTCAAAAAATAGTTAAATCAGAAAGTTGAACAAATTATTAGAGGAGAAACCTTCATCTTAGAATGATGAAGTCAACAATCCAAAGTCACCGGTGAATGATAAAACAAAGTGGGTTATCAATAGACAAGCTGAAACCTGAGGATATCGTCCCTAAAATATAAATAG